CCACCCTCGTGCAAGTCCCTCAGTGCCTTGGCCTGGTGCACTTGCAACAACGCAGAAGCGTGTAAGGCGGACGCAGCTTCTCCACAGTCCGTATAAGCACTGCCGATCAGGGCTGATGAGTGCCTACAGGCCGAGTGACCGACTGAAAGGGAACAAGCAATTATGCTCAGCAGTGAGGTTACTGAAAGCATTGAGGAGTGATTTAGAAACAGCAAGCTCTATCACAAACAACTATTTCAGGTGTTTGAACTTTAGGTTTTTATCTCAACAGTAAATTTTTAGGTGGATTTGATTTTGGGTTTACACATTTTGAAACTTTGCAAAGTTCTTAAAAGTTTGCTAAGTTTCAACAGATATTTCCACCTATATGAAAACCAATTTTTGCAGCTGGAAAAAGCTGCCAAGTATATAAAAAATAAATATGGCTGGTACACTACCAAACATTTTTCATATTAATATTATGTACTGAATGCAATGCATAACATTGTTTATTCAGATGACGAAAGATTGTGAAGTCCTTTTTTAGACTCCTGTGAACAAAGTGGGTGAATTCCAAAAGATTTTACAGGAATATAAATAATGTTTATATTATTGTTAATGTTAATGCTATAGATATGTTATATATTGTTATAGATACAACAATAGCTGTATAATGATATATGGCTACTCTATGTGAATTTTGTAAATCTCTGAGAAAATAATTTTTATAGATCACCAGAATAAGAGTGACTGACATAAATATGAGCAAGTCAATATGTTGACCAAGAGCTGCATATTTAAGTTAACAGTTGAAAACAGAACAGCAGATGAATAAATCAATACTGATCAGGGTTATTGATCCCTGAAAACTTGGTTCAGTGTAAGAATTATTGTGGACCTTACTGTTTCCAATGCATTCCAATTATTCTTTTGCATTGAAGGCAAAGCAAGTACCAGAATCCTGATAATGAACACATTGACTCATTTTTTTATTTATGTTGCAAGTTCTTGAAATGGTGTTTAAATCAGTTTCAGCTGGTGTGGTCCTCTATAATGCTACTGTACGTGCAATAACCTGTTCCACAACACAACTATCATAAGTACCTACTATAATGCATTGGTCACATGCCAATGTGCATTGGCTCGTTTAGTTTACACTCGAAGTAGATTGGTCTCTCTAAGTGAGATCCCCAATTCGTCGGTCATCCGACGTGACGTCGAAAGTGACCGACTGAAAGGGAACAAGCAATTATGCTCAGCAGTGAGGTTACTGAAAGCATTGAGGAGTGATTTAGAAACAGCAAGCTCTATCACAAACAACTATTTCAGGTGTTTGAACTTTAGGTTTTTATCTCAACAGTAAATTTTTAGGTGGATTTGATTTTGGGTTTACACATTTTGAAACTTTGCAAAGTTCTTAAAAGTTTGCTAAGTTTCAACAGATATTTCCACCTATATGAAAACCAATTTTTGCAGCTGGAAAAAGCTGCCAAGTATATAAAAAATAAATATGGCTGGGACACTACCAAACATTTTTCATATTAATATTATCTACTGAATGCAATGCATAACATTGTTTATTCAGATGACGAAAGATTGTGAAGTCCTTTTTTAGACTCCTGTGAACAAAGTGGGTGAATTCCAAAAGATTTTACAGGAATATAAATAATGTTTATATTATTGTTAATGTTAATGCTATAGATATGTTATATATTGTTATAGATACAACAATAGCTGTATAATGATATATGGCTACTCTATGTGAATTTTGTAAATCTCTGAGAAAATAATTTTTATAGATCACCAGAATAAGAGTGACTGACATAAATATGAGCAAGTCAATATGTTGACCAAGAGCTGCATATTTAAGTTAACAGTTGAAAACAGAACAGCAGATGAATAAATCAATACTGATCAGGGTTATTGATCCCTGAAAACTTGGTTCAGTGTAAGAATTATTGTGGACCTTACTGTTTCCAATGCATTCCAATTATTCTTTTGCATTGAAGGCAAAGCAAGTACCAGAATCCTGATAATGAACACATTGACTCATTTTTTTATTTATGTTGCAAGTTCTTGAAATGGTGTTTAAATCAGTTTCAGCTGGTGTGGTCCTCTATAATGCTACTGTACGTGCAATAACCTGTTCCACAACACAACTATCATAAGTACCTACTATAATGCATTGGTGTGTGTGTGTGTGTGTGTGTGTGTGTGTATGTATAAGGGTAGGTCTACAAATGTCTGGAACACACTTGTAATTAGACAGTATTGATGTCATTGTGTTGAAAAGTCTGTGGGTTAAAAGGAAGGCTAGCTACTGTAATTACATCTCCTGCTCTCTATCTGAGTGCATTTTGGCTAATTATTCTCCCCCTCATGACTCATGACTGCTGTATCTTATTTAAAACCATTCTCTAAGGATTTATCAGTGTTAACACAGGGAGGTGATGCTTTGAGAGGAGACCAGTATGTTGGAAA